CATGAGAGTATTGTTAGAGTATTGCAAGACCATAAATGCACTCCAACAGAGTCTGGAGACCTTCATTGACTTGAAAGAGGCCTTTGACTATCTGGATCGCCGGGTACTATGGCAGTGTCAATGGAGCAAACCCTTGACTCCTCTTAAAACGCTGTATGCCTACTCCCGTGGACGTGTGGTCCAAGTTCACTACATTCAGTGGTACCAGGGAAGGTGGTCCTTTCTCACTCACGGTTACAGTAAACCGTGTTTTTCTTTCAACATACGCTCCGGTCAGCGAGAAGTACAGATATAGTCGTTCTTGCAGGTGGTGTGAATGTGTCCAGATGCACTTATCTTGACTAGACCGGTCAATATACCAGTGGAAGGACGACTTTTCACTGGAATCCAGTTCAATCTTGAAGCTAAGCACAACTCCCACGCCGCAGATATCACAAGCTGTTGTGTCAGGATCGCCAGAAACTCGAAGTGTACATTGCGACAAATATGGGTTTGAGATGTATGAACCAACTGGGGTTTGGTCTGCATATTTCGGACAAAACATAAAGAAAGTAAGAACAGCTGGTCGTCCTACTTGCTTCTGAATTCGAACGTCATTAAACCGGTCGTCGAGGCTCGAGATGCCTGAGGCTGACGACGTCGGCTGACCCACAGATGTTTTCGCCAAGACCAATGAAAGGCGGATAGGAAAATCGGTTTAATGGATGGGCCTACGAGGAGTATTGCTTTATTGAGGTGGGGGAGAAAAGGTGTGGAAGAGAAGTCAGCAGTAGTCAGTTCTCGCTTAACCGCCCTGCTGTATGGAGGAAGATGACCCGGCTGACGACCCAATCTCTGAAGGTGCTGAACACGGCCGAAGAGATAGCATGGGACCCACTAGAGCAAACCGATATCATAGACTTGTCTTAGAGTGGGAGCCGAGCTTAGGAGGTGCTTCTCGGACTGACGGAGTAGTGAAAAAACGGGTGCGCGCGACGCAGCGAACGCGGTGCATGTCAGAATGGTATACCACGGGGACGACGACAGGCACAAGAAAATTAGGAAGCAGACCAATTAGCAGATTGGGCGAGAAGCATTCGAACTGCGCTTAACCGAGAATACGATACAGCCTTAACGGCTGTATCCTCACGTCAATCGGTGACCTCTGCTGAGGGACGAGTGCTATTCAGACAAGTGCAACCTAAAGTGAGAAACGCTACTCCCATACCACTCTATATTTCGCACCGAAGCCAACACATCTTGCGACCATTTTTTCCCACCATTGTCGCTATTTTCAACTAGTCAACGAAAACAGGCATCGCTTCCCCTCAGCATCGAAGCTATCACAAAAGACGTTCAACAAATGTGGCAACAAACAGTCATGCCTGTTAACGAACAGTCAACCCGATTTCCCTCGTCCGGAGTAGTCAGCATTATATTGCAATGCTTTATGTGAACCAGAGCAGCCCCGAATCTTGTCCAACACGTCCTGCGTCATTGCCTTGATTCCGAAACGTGCGAACAGGATCAGACGAGCTGACTAAACGAACCTCGCATTTACAGACTTCAACAAGGAGTGATAGAGTGTAACGCAACACTTTTGACCCTGCTCTGGAAAGAATTCTCGTCGCCCGTAATCTAATGGATGTGGGGCTTCCTGCCACACTACCAGTAAGTGGCTAAAATGAGTAGACAGCTTCTTGAACGCCAGTCATCAGGAAGCGGAGCGTCTTAGGAAACGGTACTTGAAACAATTCTGAGCCCCAATCACATGAACCCACCACTTCAAAAGTTGAAATAGAACTTTGCAATGTTTGATAATGGATTGAGAAAATTTGCCCACATCCTGACTGATGAAGATGCGATCTCCTCAGGATAAGTTCGATAAGGCGGAAGACGGAGTAATCGAGTGCAAACATACATCCATGGGAAGAACACTTGGTGCCTTGTATGGTCGACTAGCACAGGATTTCTAGGCTTGTGGGGCATCGTCACGCGAAGCGATCTTAGAACGGAAGCCCACATGAATAAGATGGAGGTCGAAGTTCACCGGATGTTATGAGCCTTCTGGTCGAATTCCGTCACTAGGAAAACTGCGCAAGGAGTGCTAGAGATATCCATCGAACCAGATTCGGGGAACTGATCACTAGCGTATTTCTCGGGCACGAAGGCACGACTAGAATGAGCACAGGGACTGCCGAGAAAAGTGATCCGAGCCTCGCTTGAATCGATCAGTGTTTCGAAACTGAGTTATTTACCACTTAATACTGCTGTACTTCATCAGGTCTTGAGAGACCATAAACTTCCAGTCATGAACTCAATCATTAACCAGGCAGAGATGACCGCGTGAGACCACCGGTACAGGATATAAACACCCACTCTGGAAAAGATATCAACGGCCGGAGGTTATAAGCGCCTGCTTTGCGGGCATTCGTGGGATGCCAGCAGGGAATGGCGAGGGAATCATGTCTCTAGCTCAGGCATTGTGAAGATTCACCCAACCGTTATCATGGAGTGTTGAAATATACCTCTGGATCTTATAACCTCATCGATCTGAGTCAGAATCCGGGCCACCAGACCCGTAAAACAGAAATCGTGAAAGTCTGCTGGTGGACATGGGGAAGGCAGATAAAAGCACGGACCTGTCACTGAGAAATCCGTATCACACAAAACCCTTAACCCACTGGCGATGGGTGAGGTAAGGCCGACGCAGCCCTTGCTTCCAGTGCACCGGAACTCGAATTGCTGACTTATTAGGAGAGTCTCCAACAAGCATAGGCCCGAATATCACTATTACCATAAACCTTCGATTTTTCGTTTTTCTATACTAGTTCGAGGAAATCTCCATAGGATTATGATTAAAAAGAATTATTCTTATGTTGGTTTTTGTGTATTGCGGCAGTGGTTTATCCCTTTATGTCAACTCCGGACATCCATGTGTGGCTTCAAAGTTGTAAATCAAAATACCTTGATGCACGTCAAAAACTTACCTGTGAGGTCTTCATAAAGGTAGCAAGTCTACGCAGCAACTCCTTTTTGGATCCGGCTGTGCTCAGGTCGTGAGATGACAAGCGTTTACGCAACTCAACGACCGTGAGTGCCTCTAGACCCCGTAACTGGTCATCCACGGACATTGCATGCGCCGTTATTATTTTAAGAGTTGACGCGTTAAAACAATCCAGACCAAGATACAATTCTTCGTAGACCGAGATGTCGAGGGCGTGGCTGCCCCTTGACGTATGTCCACATTTGTCCGTTGGTTCTCCTAGTTTCTTCATGCACGAATTTCCCAAGAAAACGCTCGTTAACCTTTTTCCTCTCATCACATTCACGGGGTCTCCCAGTATTCGCAAAATGGGATCGAATTCTCGAAAACTACGACACTTTCAAGGTTACAACTCTAAATTGAGGAATGCCTATGTCAAGTGAATTGCCCTGCATATTATCCGCATATGTGGTTTGTTTGAGTGATCTCGTCGGTATCATGGACTTATGGACCGATACACACAATCGAGGCTTTCGCGCAAACTTCCTTGGTCAGGCTGGTTCTTTCCTTTCAACGGATTCGTGTCACCTAGAAGGCAGGAGCGAAAGAGGGGCCCCTCGAGTTTTCCGCTTGGCAGTAAGCTTGCCAGCAAAAGGCCTCACACTCCAAATTGCTTTCAACTGGGCTCGAGATGCATCATGAACAATCTTCGAAAGAAGGCTGTTCCACAAACCACTTACCCGAAATGCGAAGATGAATCCGTGATATAAGTGTGCACTGAGCTTTAAAATTTCCCAGCCCTGTCCTTGCCGCGTGTTAGTTGGGTAAAATGTAAAAATCTGCGAAGCAAACCCTGCCCAAACGAGGGATAGGTAAGTACTGTTTCCCTTTCAGGATGATGATACTCCAGGGAAGAGTGCGAGCACCTCAAGCCGCGTTTCATAATCAACAGGGTTGAGGCTGGCAACCATCTTCCAGCAACTCATTGGATATGCTAGATGAACGAAGTGTGTTCCTTTCTTCCTGAGTCGACAACTTGGATGGCGTATTCAAGAAGTGTTCTGACGCAGGGCTCGGAGAGTGTCCGGTGGTCCCAGTTAAAACTTATCTTTGTGATGTTTTCATGCCCATCCTCCACACGCACGACACAGACGTTTCCCGAGTCTGCTTCAACTGATTCATGGATGCAATTTTGTCCTCCAGTTGAGGGTGCCAACCAACTGACTACATTTCAGCGCCATACACCCATTTAGATGGCGATGGTGTTGAACCTTTAGGACTGCAAGTCGTTCGCAAAAAGCAGACCTGGTCTTGCGAGCCCATCGACGTAGAGCAATAAAAGGACTGGTCACAAACCGGAGCTCAGAGGAACACAAATGAGGGCATGCGCAGCAGAAAAGTAGGTTGAGCCGCTTTCACTCGGAGTGTCCTATCTGATTAAAGATCTTAGTGCCGCGTGGAATCTATTGAATCACATAGGACTCGATTTTGTGGAGCGGCCGAATGCGTAACACTCGATCGATTGAGAAGTCGACAAATATTTCATCGGTTACCAGTCCTTCTTCTTTGGGTTGAGTCGAGCTGCCATAAATATGGACACATTCGTCAGGCAAGATCAGTCTGAGAAGGATCTGTGTTGTGCTGGGGTATAAATTTGTTGGCAATGAGGTGAGTTTGGATAAAGCATCAGAGTTGGTTCCACAAAATCGCACGATCCGCTTGTGGGCTGAACTGACATGTAGAGCTGCTGGGTGATGAACAATCGCCTGGTTTTAGAATGGTGCGACAATCGCCTCTTTCCGGGCAGAGGGAAAGTAAACTTCGTCCAGCATCTGAGGATACATCTGGTTGGATGTTAGGTATGTTCCCTTTTGGGTCCTTGAATGTACCTCATCTGGCCCTAAGGCCCAAAATGGGGTCATGCCGTGCGACTATTGACTAACATCACCTTCCATGAAGATCAAGCTATTTAGAAGCCGTTTGTGGTTGCGCCTCGTTAAGACTGGATGTGCTGAGGTCGACTGAAGACGGTTTCTTTTCGAACTCTGATATTTTCGAGGCTGCCACTTCGTGGACAGAACTGGCCACGCTCAGCGCGCCTTCAGCCACATTGTTATGGGCAACTAAGAAGAAAGTGGGACCCAAGTTCGGAAGCGATGACTACGTTCAAAGAGTGCCAGCGGAGGCTGGCTCGATTATGATTAGGCACGACATTCATCACATCTACCTGCCGCAAGGTGCTGAAGTGATTGATGTGCTCACCCATCTGAGGCGCATGCTTCGGACTGGGGGAAGCTTTTGTGGCTAGACTGGCTGCACCATTATCTTTCACCTCATTCTTGTATATGGTGGGGGAGTCAGCAGATCAGGGAGAACCATGCTAACTTTCGGGGACGTAGTTGGTTCTTTTTGTCCATTCTCATTATGTGAAAAGTACTTCCTCATTATTGTTGTTTCGGTTTTGCTACTAAACCATCTTTCTTATTTTTATGACCATTCTCATTAAAAAGTACTTCCTCATTATTGTTGTTTCGGTTTTGCTACTAAACCATCTTTCTTATTTTTATGACCTGAAGTTAAACCGCCCGCT